ACACCAAAAAAAATGGACACATTAACAGCAGATAACGTAGTTTTCACTATACGTCAAGCCGCAGCAGCCGAGAGTAACATGATAGAGATGATTGGACATGTCCATGCCGATTTGTTTAACCAAGAAAAATTTCTCATAAACGGTGTTGAAATGAAAGTTAAATTTGTGAGATCCAGAGATTCGTTTAACTTAATGGCTGGTGCAGGTGCAACTTATAAAGTAAAAATTGTCGATGCCAATTTGCTGGTACGAAGAATGAAGATAAATCCTACAATTCTTCTCGCTAACACTAAAGCATTAGAAACGTCCGCCGCAAAATATCCTATTACTCGAACCGATGTAAAAGTGTTAACAATACCAACCGGAATACAGCGTAAATCTTTAGATAACGTCTTCCTTGGACAGTTGCCAAAACGTTGCATAATCGGTTTTGTATCCAATAAAGCGTTTAATGGCGATTACGCGTCTAACCCTTTCAATTTCCAAAACTACAAGATTAATTACATGTCCCTGTACATCGACGGACAGCAAATTCCTTCAAAGCCGTTGCAACCTGATTTCACACGGGCAGGATTATACGTACGGGCATATCATACTTTATTTTCGGGGACGGGGATTCATTTTTTGAATGAAGGAAATAACATATCGCGTTTAGATTACCCTCACGGCTACTGTTTAACTACCTTTGACCTGACACCTGATTTATCCGCTAACGCCACAACACATTGGAATTTAGTTAGGAATGGTTCATTGCGCATCGAAGTTGGATTTCAAGATGCGTTAACTGAAACAGTAAACTGCTTGGTATATGCGGAGTTCGACAATGTCATTGAAATCGATAAACACCGAAATGTTAACGCAGTTAAAAGAGAAATCTCAAAATTGCGTACATTGCATAGTCTTACGCACATCAATAAGTTCGAAAAGCAGAAAAATAAATTAAGCTGATATCCTACGTATGATTTCACTAATAATAATAAATAAAAGATCAGTTTATACGAGTCCTTAGCCAGTTTAAATGTTTTCTGCAATGGATGCATACGTCGATATGCAAGGTTTCCGAGGTGCTCTTAATGAGTTTATACCCAAAGAAATTTCGATTGTTTCCTCGGAGGGTCCGAAATGCACAACTCTGTTAATAAAACCCCCTCAAAATTATAGTATTACTGCAACTATGAAAAAAGACATTCGATATTTAGAGGATTATTATCATGGCTTAAAGTGGACCTCCGGTCACATTCGATATGAAAATTTTGAAGAGGAACTACGTACCCTGCTACAGCCATTTAGCAAGATCTATGTTAAAGGACTAGAGAAGCAGTACATTCTAAATTTCCTAAACAAACCTATAATAAATGCAGAGGATTGCGGATGCCCTTCTTTAAAGAAGCTGAAGAAAGAATTTGGAGGCATTAGGTGCTTGAATCATAACAGTGAAACTTTAATGTGCTCGCAAGAAAACGCTTTAATGCTATACGAATGGACCCAAATTAGCTCCACCGATGAATTCCCTAGAACTTCAACGAGCCCTGAATCACATACAGGATTCTGTAAGGCCTGGTGTTTTTGCAGCTGATAAATTACCAAAATTTATTCGTCGTCCATATGGACTTATAGTCAATACAGATGTTTCCACCAGACCTGGTCAACATTGGAACGCTATCTACATCGATAAAGATGGAATTGGCGAATTCTTTGATTCCTTCGGAAGGTCTCCATGTGGCCTTCATTTAAAATTTTTGAAAGCCAACTCTAGACGTTTTACATGTAACTATAAAATGTTACAACATCCCCTTTCGACTTTTTGTGGCCAATATTGCTTGATGTACTTAGTTTTTAAAATGAATAATGTTGCCACTAGCGATTTTGTAAACATGTTTAATGATAACTTAAAGTCTAACGACGACATCATCCGTTTATTGTATACTGCTACGTTTTGTAATATAAATTTGTTTACATTTAAGGGTTGATACTAATAAAGACAAGTTAAAATCGTTTAAAGATCGGTTGATTTTTTATAAAAAAGTATCCCTTTTGAGTGAGGTTCATAAATATGGTTTAAAGCATAGCGGTCGGCTACGTGACCACGACCCTGGAAAAACTCGAGGTCAAAGTCCAAGACCACGACCTTGGAAAAACTCGAGGTCAAAGTCCAAGACCATGACCTTGGGGAGGTCAAAGTCCAAGACCATGACCTTGGGAAAAACCCAATGCTACGACAAGTTCATAGTCCAAGGCCATGACTTGAGGAAACCCATTGCAATGACCTCGGGAAATACCCAAATAAGAAATGTACGCTCTAATTTCAGTTAGTATTTGACTACCGACTCATTAACATCACCTAACGTATTGTTACAAGTTTTATTAGACTCGCATAATCTACTGCAGTTTACGTAATTATACAGTGCTAATCTGTGCATCTCTCTCTTTCTTATGTGTTAGGGAGGGTGTGTGTGTGTGTGTGGATAAACTTGGAAAAACAAGGATTTTCAAACAAAAACTAAGAAAAAGTAAGTACACAAATATTTTCTTGTTTTGCTTGCTTCTCGCTTTGCTTTTTCCTCTTCTTCTTCTTCTTTGTAAAATTTGAAATGTATGGATTACCATTTTCTAAGAGTATGTACTTAGATTAGGTTTGTAATACAGCATCTCTTATTTTTCTCTACACCTCTCTCTTTTAAATTCGCTAGGAAAATCCCAGAGCACAGTTTTAGTCCAAACTCAAATCCCAGAATCCAAATCACACAATCTCAACTCAGCATCCAAGACCACGACCTTGATCCAGAATCCATAATCACAACCCTGCCCCAGGATCCAAGACCATGATCCTGTACCAAAGTCACGATCTTGGAAAAACCTCAAAACCATGATCTTGGGAAAAACCCCCAAGACTACGACCTTGGGAAAACCCAAAGCCACGACATTGGGAAAAACCCAAAACCACGACCTTGGGGAAACCCAAGGTCACGACCTTGGGAAAACCCAAGGTCACGACCTTGGGAAAACCCAAAGCCACGACCTTGGGAAAAACCCAAGGCCACGACCTTGGGAAAATCCAAAGCCACGACCTTGGGAAAAACCCAAAGCCACGACCTTGGGAAAAACCCAAGGCCACGACCTTGGGAAAAACCCAAGGTCTCCGTGACGTCACAGAAAGTGGTGGGGGTAAGTGTCGGCATTTTTCGTATGTGTTTATTTCCTACGTGCTATTCCCATCAGCGAAGACAAATCCAACAAACCAAAAGTCATTAAAATCGGTACAGCCGTTAGCAGTTAGAACATCATTATCACATTTAGATCTTTCTGTTTTATATATAATCGGAAATTTTCCCATTTTCCGGTCAAATTTTTAATATCCTTTGTCCTTATTCCCAGGGAAGACTAATCTTAACTTATAAGATCACAAACACAATTCGGTCTTACTGTTTTATATATAGAAGTAATATAAATTTTCACCCAGGCTTTATAATTGTATAATGGACATACTTTTGACACCTGGACCACTCTGGGCTTTGGAAGCCAGAGCGTGTGTGAAGTCCTGGCCCTAGCAATTATTGCTTAGCCGTTTTAAAGTAGTTGCTTACAAGTCCTCAAAGTCATTCCAAATTAGTACCTACTCAGATACGTACACAACATACCTTAGTTTTATCAATAAGTTCTTTAATTTAGTTTAATTATTTTCAGGTTTTTCATCCGACACTGAAGCAGTGCATTATGGAAGATGATTATTTTAATTGTTATGCGGATAATGAAAACATGATAGAATCGCAATATTTTCAAGAGGTGAATGAATTGGGGAGTGATTTCTCCACCGTTGATCATTTTGGTATGCAGGATTACGAAACAGAACCGACTACTACGCACTTCGAATCTACATTGGAAAGTAGTTCATTTATAGAGCCCTACCATGCCCTAAACGGTCTTCAACAAGATCAAGTTCCGTTGTCGATGGTTGACAATATTTCAATGGATCGCATAGGAACTCAAATGTCGTTACTAACTAAATTAATTGGCACTCTTAGACCAACTACTATAACAGGACGCCCACTACAAAAAGTTTCTAACGGCGAGGTTTCGCCGATCGAATACGGCGCGGGACCGCAAAAGTTCATGCCATTACAACCCATTGCGATTTCACCAAGCTTCAGTTCTATAGAAAATAAGGTCGACTTAGTGTTGCCGCAAGTAAATAAATTAACTGCGCAACTAGTAATGCAAAATCCGATTGCTGAAAAACTATCCGATCTCCACGTTTTAAAAGAGACATCGGAAGTTTCGCCGCTTCTGTTTAACCCAAATACATCAAATTACTCTGATCCTCAGGACATTGTCACGTTTTTGTTTCGCAAATATCTAACTAACAAATATTTTATGAAGGACGGCGAATACATTAAAAGGAATTCGGCTGCTCCTGTCGTCACCTTCTACAACTCAATGCATCAAGCGTTGAGGGAGGATATTCATCAGAACACTACCGTCTCGACATACACCAATTCGAATTCCAGCAAGGAACTTTACGGAAAATCGTGTCTTAAAGGCATACGTTTACCAAATCCCCAAGACTGCACGCGTTACTTCCTTTGTAACGCATCAACAATATCATTTCAAAGTTACACTTGTCCCCCAAATATGGCATTCAATAAGACGAAACGTATATGCGATGTAAGGGAATATCAACGATGTAAGAAGGAAATTGAAGAAAATCGCGAAGTGGAAAAAATAGAAAATTACAATGAAATACCTTGTGATAGTTATATGTGTGGGGGATTGCAAAATTTCGACGTATCTAAGCATAACCAATTGAAATGCGTTGGAACCCTAAAATTTTGTACGAAAAAGCAGAAATGTCTCCCCTCAAATTTATGTTAAATTATGTTCGCCCACTCAAAACTGCTTTTTAATTTTAACGTCGACGGTCTTTATAAATTTATTTCGTAAGCTCTATGTAAGATATATAAATAAATTAAATCGTTCTTATATGCAATTTTAATCAAATTGGTAGCCATCTCGATCTTCACGATTTAACCAGGTGCTTAACAATTTAGTAGGTACACCACACAGGAATAGGAACGATTTTATTTTTTAACGTACACAGATTTAAAATTGTGTTTTTTATCACCTTGACAACTAAAGTTCTTGTTTTTCTAGGGTATACCGATTGTCGTTAATGGTCGCCACAATAACTACCTAATTATTGTAGTTCTTCCCTACTCGGGTTGTTAGAAGAGGAAAATGATCATCCGGTGCAGTTTTTTCCTTTTTCATCCCTCGCGTGTCTTCTGGTAGGTGTCAGACGATCAATGGCAACGTTAATACTTGATTGATTAATTCATGAGGCCTGGTTTAGGGTTGCTGAAGCGGCTTCTCTTAAGAAGGAGGATGTGCAAAAACTTCAGTTTTTCTATTTCGTGGATTGATTTCAAAGTCGATCGGTTATACAGGGTCCATGTGGAATATTCGCCATCAAAGAAAAATTTTCCCGGAATTCTGAGCTGGGTTCCATAAGTTAATTCTGCAAGCGAACATCGAAGATCTTCTTTGATACATCCCAGGTTATTGTTGTTGCACTGTATCTAATGAGCAAAGCTTTTTCATTTCTAGCTATGTTTCTCCACCATCCAACAGCCGTTGGTAAAGAAGAATCACTTCATTATTTTCCTGTTCAGCGGCGAGTGTTTCAGTGTCGATTACTGTAGGCGTGATAATTTCTTCGATTCTGGATAAGGCATCGGCTACGCCTTTTTCTTCAGTCGAAAAGATTTCCTTACATTGCTAGAGGTGATCGCTACCATTATATGAAACGAGCTAACACTTAAATTAAAAGACTGCTAAAGTGACAGCAGTTGCATTTAATTTGCATTGCACCGCTAGCATTCCAATTTCTCTAAAAGAATCTCTCGGTAGGGGGTGCCAAATGTGGTGATCAACGCTATTGAACTTTGATTTTTGATAATCTATGTATCGTTTCCAGTAGATTATGGACGTCTCAAGAGAAAGTCCTTAGATTCCAGAATTGGGGATGTTCGAAATTTGACGAATTACGCGTATTTGTGGATGTAAGTCGTTTATTCTGGAGCCGGATTTTGATATTGATTAAAGAAATGCATTGGTTACATTTCAAAAATGCACCAATCGTATTTCGTATATAAATTAACGGTTTGAGTTCGGTTTTATTTAGTCCTGAACTTTAGCTACGGGGTGTAATGGTATACAATTTGTGCAGTTTACTTTACGGATCTGTCACGAATGATCCTTTTGTTCCTCTTTTATGTTCGCATCTTCCCTTCAAGATCACGCCTTCTTAATGTACTATTTTTTCTTGTAGTATCCACGACTGTTTTGCATCCTCTACACTTTACATGAGTACCCGTACTTGTACTTGTTTAATTTACAGAGGACAGAAGGTACTATGCTTACGAGAAAGTGCACGATTTTAAGAAAACCCTGCATCTTGCTTGTATGGCGACTTCGTTCGTGTATAGAGCCAGGGTAGTGTCCCGTGTCTTCGGTATATCCCGAACGCACAGAGGAAACAGAAATGGCGAGAGCAAGGATCCCTGGGGTACTCCGAAGCCCTTTGAGCACACTCTGTGCCGATGTCGTTCGGTCCGGGCTCTTTCCTTGGGTTTGTTCTCTTAATGGCGTCGGAAACTTTTTCCTCGGCCATGGGCCGTAGCGCTCTTGCCATAGGGATCTCTTCACTCTTCGGTTGACGGCGTGAATAAAGTCCAGGTCCGCGTTTTCGTAGTTGGGAGAAAACTGACGTTCCAGGCACTCCGCGTAGGCGTCGGCATTCTCGGCGCCCGTATACACTAATCCTCCTACTCCGTGCGATGGGCACGATCTTGGTATGGAGCGGCGCAGCGCCCTTGCCATCTCCAGAGGGAGCAATCCTCCTCACTCAAGGATCGCAGGCCGTTTTCCCAAGACTCGTTTCTGAAGTAGCGGATGGCGGTCTTGAAGTTTTTGGAACGTGCAATCTCACGAACACCGGAAGCGCGCTTCTCCCGGATTAGGTTTCGAATCCAACCCGGAAGGCGGTAATCGTCTCGGCGCTCTCGAAACGACTTCGTCGCGTCTCGTAGGGCAGCCTGCGCGATTTTTACAAACTCGTCGGCCCCGGCTTCGTGGTTCGCGACGTTTTTGATTACCTTTGGATCGTCCGTCATCGTTTCGACTTCGAAAGGCGAGCCAAGACATACGCCTCATCTCGACTTCGTCTGCCGTGTTCGGCCCGATAACGCCCAGTTCTAGGAGAACGAGATTATGGGCCGGGTCCAGCTCTAACATCGTCGGGAGACGATAATGCAACGGCACATCTCTCAGGGCGGCGACGTCTAGTACTTCGGGACTGTATAGTGTGTGGGCTCGTCGAGTCCTGTCGGTCTTTTCCGCCTTCATCTTTTATGCAGGTTTCTACGCGAAGGCCCCGTATTGCCACCTTCAGAAGTTTCTCCTCTTGTAGGTTGTAGGTGTGGTAAGGCACCTGTAGCTCCTCAAAGAGTTTCGTGATACCCCGATGGTCATCTGCAGTTGGACCCGGATGCCGCCGAAGAGGTTTTTGGCCATGACAAAGGCCAGCTTCCTCTTGTTGCTGTGCAGAGTTATTGCCACCCTTGCGAAGGAAAACGGGGGAGACGCGTATTTCATTGAAGCTAAGAGGCCACTTAAAAGTCTAAAAACCTTTTATACTATAGGACTATATATGCGTTACGCACAGAGCTGGGCCGAATACTTTCAAAAAGGATTTGAATACTAAATAGTAAATACTTTACACAAATCAAAGGTATTTGAATACTAAATACTTTTACGTCCAGCACAAGCGAATACTAGATACAGATACATAGAAAAGTATTCAAATACTTAAAAAAATAAGTATTCAAATACTTTAGAATGTATTCGAATACTTTCAAAAGTATCCTAATACTATCAAAGGTATTCGAATACAGTAAAAAGTATTCAATTACTTGTCACTCAAATACATTAAAAATTTAAAATAGTATACTAGATAAAAGGCTTAATACTAATTAAAAAATCAAGTTATACTTTGTATGGGGTTAGCTTTTTTTATATGTCCATTGTTATATACAAATTTAAGGGGAGTAAAAGCGTATTATTATTATTATATTATTATATAGGAGGTACCTACCAGGACCTTTCTTATACCAGTTATATCCTTAAGAATACGTGTACTACCAGTTTTCAAAGCGATAGTACGTCGTGCACATGACACGAGAGTCCATAATTTCAAACAGTTTGAAGATTACTAGATCAAAAGTTACAGCCCTTTGAATTTTCTTTCGAAATTGGTTTCTAGTGTATAACATTTGATTGAGAAGTCTGATCGAAAAAGTACGAATTGTTTTGGATTCTACGCACCAAAAATAATAAGAAAAAGTGTTTTCCCGAGAAATTTTGGTGTAGTCGATTTTTGGTAAAAAAAGGAAGGTTAAACACTGCCTTTTTTTGAAGCCCGCAAAAAAAATGTCTCAAATCGACCCGGAAAACAAATTTTCTTATAGAATGTGGCCTGTAGAAACCATAATTTCAAACAGTTCCAAGATTGGGCTACTATTTCAAAAGTTACAGCCCTTTGAAATTTTGGTGTAATCGATTTTTGGTAAAAAAGGAAGGTTATACACTGCCTTTTTTGAGGCCCGCAAAAAAAATTGTCTCAGATCGACCCGGAAAAAAAATTTTCTTATAGAATGTGAGTAGTCGATTTTTGGTAAAAAAAAGGAAGGTTAAGTATTCAAATACTATGCGAAGTATTCGAATACTTCTCAATGTATTCAAATACCTTGAGAAGTATTCGAATTCAAGTATCCAAATACTTTGCCAAGTATTCGAATTCTAAATGTTTGTGAAAGTATTTGAGTTACAAAAACAAATACTGCTTCCTTAAAAGTATTTAATTGCAAAGTATTTGAATACTAAAAAGTATTTACAAAATCGAATACTGCCCAGCTCTGGTTACGCATTAAACTTTTCGTAAGTTCCGCGCGTAAACAAAAATTCATTTTTAATATGCAAAATTGGCAACAGGAAACGCGCGTAACCGGTTAAATTTGTCGCCAATTATGTATAAATCTACGCACTGCATAAATGTAACAAAATATAGCAAAATTAGAAACAATAATTCGTTTTTTCTAAATTGAAAATTCTGCTAAAATAGTATCGTTCTGACATCTAACGTTGGTTGGATAAACTACTAATTGCAGGAACCGACTTTAACGTTAAAACTACACATAGAGGAATTGTCTTCTTGAGGATTCTGTTCTCCTGGTACTACCGATAGCGTTGGACGTGTTCTATATGTAAAAAACATGGCCGCTTTTTCAAACGTTGGAGTATGCCGGGTTGCCTACATATCAGGATACATACTTATGATTGCTCAAAAATCAAAATTTGAAAGCGAAACTTTTCTTAGACATTTAATACGCTTTTATGAGTTCTTGAGTGTTTCCATTTAAAAAGCACCAAACGTTTTTAAGGGCCTTCAAACCCTGAAGGTTTTGTCTTTAGAAGTCCAATTAGGTACCATTTTCAATTCAAAAAACCCTTTTTATAGTTTTGAAAGCCTTTAAAAATGTATTCAGGATTCACTAAAATCGGCAAAGCGGTTTCAAAAGTCCTCCCAAAACGTAATTTCACTATGCAAGAGACCTTTATACTACTTATAATAATATGGCTTTTGTATATTCTGCAATCTACAGAAATTGTTCTCCGTTTCAATTTGTAGATGGACTATAGCTTAGTTCCACATTATTAGCGAGTTCATTATTTTGGACCGTCAGTCTATGTACATGATAACTCGCGAATTCTAGAATTTTCCAATTCTGTTTTCAGTATTATGTCCTCACCCAAGAAAGACTAATTTAATTTTCAGTGACTCAGAGGAGCTCGTTTGTTATATTTGTTACAAGTTTATTTACCTGTATATATCTAGAAATCAAGGAGCGCTAAATCAGTTGATATCATGTCAAGTAAAAGTAGCACCACTTGAAAATCAAGTCAAGAGTCAAGTATTATGTTTTTGAGATAGTTTTGATTGTTAAATTAAGTCAACTAATGCTTTGGAAACTGATCAACCTACTTGACTTGATGAATCTCTACTAAAGAGATGCGATGGATGGAATTGTGAACGAAAAGGGGTTGTCTTGACTAAAGAGTTATAAAGTCACCTTGGTCATCATAGCACCATGTTTCAGGCAGACATCTTAGCCATCATGACCTGTACCTACACAGAAGAACCTCCGCACATGTAAATTACTGCGTCATTAGTGCACATGTAAGTAGGTGCATTATTGTCAATTGTTTTAATGCATAAGTGCCTGCTTTTTAGTTTACCAGTTTACCAACCTTTCCCTTTTAGACAGGTACCACGTTCTACGCTCTGGAAGAATGTTTGCAAATATTTTTAAACAAATCAACACGTGTCGCGCCTATTCGGGGCCACCAACAATGAAAGTCGAAACGGCGGGAGTCTAACGCTAGTGGCAAATCTAATCTGCCTGTACGTATTCCGCCGGTTAAGTCCGTTATTTACTAATTGTTTATTTTAATTTCGGAATGCCACGTAAAAAAAACATCAATACAGGAAATAGTACCCTTATCTTTTACTTTTAAAGTAGGTATTTTGTATAATTTATGAGATTACATTTTGAAAATTACGATTTGGACCAATGGGATTGCGCCAACGCGCGTTAGCGGTCATGCGCACTTTTATCGTTAATTAGTTTCTTTATAAGCGAAGATTGGCCACGTCTTTCCATTCAATCTTTGGTGAAAATTTGCCGGTAGTTCAGGTGTGGTGCTTTTTTACCTCGAATTTGGTAAAAAAAATGAATAGATTACGGTTAGGGTTATTCCTCGCGGTTATTTGTGCCGCTTTGGCTAAAGAAGAAGATGTAGTTGAATTAGGAGACAGCGATTTTGAATCGAAAATGAAGGATTATGAAGTAGCACTGGTTATGTTTTATGCTCCTTGGTAAGTGGAACCTATTATTGGAGGAGAAATTCAAGGGTTTTTTGTATGTAGGTGTGGGCATTGTAAGAAATTGAAGCCGGAATTTGCGAAGGCCGCCGAAGATCTACTAAGGAATGATCCGCCTGTCACGTTGGTTAAAGTGGACTGTACAGAAGCCGGCAAAGAAACTTGCTCGAAATTCGAAGTTAGCGGGTATCCAACCTTGAAAATATTTAAGAACGGCGATATTTCTCAAGACTACAATGGGCCGAGAGAAGCAGCAGGTATGTGTGCTCAGACTGCTCGTGTACGTAGATTATAATGGCTTAATTGTAGGTCTCGTTAAATACATGAAAGGCCAGGTCGGTCCTAGCTCGAAGGAGCTTTCGTCGGTCGCCGATTTTAACAAATTCCTCACAGCCGAAAACGATGTGTCCGTCGTAGGCTTCTTCGAAAAGGAAACCGATTTAAAGATCGCGTTCTTGAAAGCATCTGATAGATTGAGGGAAAAGGTCCGATTCGCGCATTCTACTCACAAAACGGTCTTGGACAAACAAGGAGTTAAGTAAGTGTATTCCATGCGCATGTCGAGATGAACTACAACTTTGCTTTCAGAAATGGTATTGTTCTATTTCGGCCTGCTATACTCGCAAACAAATTTGAAGATGATAGTGTAACATATTCGGGCAAGGCAGATGCGGATAGCATCAAGGAATTCATTACCAATAACTAGTAAGTACTTACACAAAACCTAAAGCTCACAGCCCAATTGGTTGAGAGTAGTTGCCATGACAACTGATGTGGTAAAAAAACTAGAATTTTGGGTATGCTCTTTTTGATTTTGTGAAAAATGCAGGGGCGCAGACAAAAGATTTTTTGCAACATGAAAATAATGAATACAAAATTTTTGAAAATTTAAAAAAACATTCATTGGTATTCTTGGTCATCAGAATTTCATGAAATTTGGTGCATACACTCTGTATGTGTTTAAGAACAAAACTATCGAACATTGATAATTTTTCCAAAAATAGAAATACATACAACATTTTTGAAAATTACTCCATAGAAAAAAAATGTTATTTGAACTAACATTTACACACATTTTAATATGGCCATTTATTAATAGATTTCTCTTTTTTCCCCAGTCATGGTCTTGTTGGGCACCGTACATCTGACAACAGAGCGGACTTTAAATCTCCATTAATCGTCGCTTACTACAATGTTGATTACGTGAAAAATGCTAAGGGCACAAACTACTGGCGTAACCGAATTCTGAAGGTGGCCAAAAACTACAAGCAGTACACTTTCGCCATCAGTAACAAGGACATTTTCCAAATGGAATTAAACGAATTCGGCATGGACTACGCCAAAGGAGACAAACCCGTGGTATTTGCCAAAAATGCCAAAGACCAGAAGTTTGTAATGAGCGATGAGTTTACGTAAGCTTTAGTCTATTTCTCTATCTACTTTAGTAATAATTTCATTGAAGGATTGAGACATTCGAGAAATTCGTGAAGGATCTAATTGCCGAGAAATTGGAAGTGTATGTTAAATCGGAGGCAATTCCCGAAAGCAACAACGAACCCGTGAAGATTGCTGTTGGCAAAAACTTCGACGAGGTTGTTATCAATAACGGAAAGGACACCTTAATCGAATTTTATGCTCCATGGTGTGGACATTGTAAAAAATTAAGTCCCATTTACGACGACCTCGCAAAGAAATTAGAAAATGAAGAAGTGGCCATTGTGAAAATGGACGCGACAGCTAATGATGTGCCACCATTGTTTGACGTTAAAGGATTCCCCACATTATACTGGCTTCCTAAAGATAACAAAAAGTCGCCAGTTCGTTATGAAGGTGGCCGAGAGTTGGACGATTTCATCAAGTATATTGCAAAACATGCAACCTCAGAACTGAAGGGTTATGATAGGAAGGGTAAAGATAAGACTAAAACAGAACTGTAATAATTTTAAGTTTCGTATTCGTTAATAAGTAAGTCATTTTGATGTAGTTTTCTTTGTAAGTAAAGATTTTCTTAAATTCGTGTTTTCATTCAATTAGTGAATTGAAACATTTTTTGCAACCGGTCACACTTGACTTTTAAGTAGGAATCTTGACACCAATATATCATTGCACCCCAATTTTAAGATGACCATGTGCTTCAATGTATGCAATTTCTTTGATCATCTTGGAACTGGATTTTTGCACCTGATAGAGTGAGTGTGTAATCATTGCACATGGATACATATGAATCTTACTTTCATGTGCGCTTTTAATCATCAGAAATGCAGCTTGCAGTAGTAATAACATCACTTTAAATATATTTTGTATTGTGTAACTTACGGTACATCAAGAATCCGGCCATGGGAAGTAATAATTGTAGAAATTGAACTTTGAAAGGCCTTGGGTGCAAGACAGCAAAGTCTACCTGTTGAATGTTTACTAATTGATGTTAAAATTAGATCACTTGCCAATGGTATTTTTACAAGCGGTTTTATACAATTATTTTTTAATAAAATAATAAGCACACCAACTCATTTACTGATTCGCAAGAGCTCAAGAAGGCGGGGAGGGCTATGTCGGCAACTTTTCTTATGCTGAGTCTGCCGTTAAATATTTGGAGAAAAGATATCTTCCATGTAGTTCGGTAAAGCTACAGTAGTTCAGTTTGTGACCTTTGAATTTTTAAACCTGTAACCAAAGAGTACCCACTCTTTGCTGTAACTAAGGACATATGCGTTGCTATGAGAGCGATTACGTCACTTTATTGACAGCCTATGAGCAGTTGTTTAACGTCCCTTTGCGTGCGTGAAGGTAGCCAGTACGCGCCAGTACATCAGTACTCTGTAGTACCGTTTGAGTACTATCTTAAAACCACAGCAAAAATTTACTACCTATGAAGAACGCCGATATTTTTATGTACTGGCTGGCGGGATTTGGAAGCTAGCCAGTACACTGGATATCGTTAACCCGCACATTAATATACAACGGTACTATTTAGTACTTCTTGGGTACGAATACATACACAATCAGTTTCTTGGTACCTTTAAGAGTTGCCTTGTACTGTCCAAATTCCGCTAGCCAGTACTCGATAAATTGATAACCAGGATATAAACAAACAGCAGTACTATTTAGTACTGCTTAAGGATTGATTAAATGTAAAATCAGTTTTCTGATACCATTAGGATTACACTAGTACTGGCTACCTTCCAAATCTCGATAGCCAGTACAGTGGATATTGATGTACGGGACATAAATAAGCGATAGTACGATTTCGTACTTCCTATGTAGCAAATATATATCCAATCAACTGAGTGGTACTTTTAAGGATTACCTTGTACTGGCCACCGTCCATATGCCGATAGCCAGTACACGGGAAATTAATAACCAGGGCATAAGCAAACAGCAGGACCATTTAGTACTGCTGATGACTGATTCAACCTGCGGTTCATTTCTTAGATACCTAAGATTACACTAGTACTGTCTACTGTCTAAATCCCGCTAGCCAGTACATGGAATATTGATGTACCTACGGTACATAAATAAGCATACGAGTTTGTACTTTCTAGGTAGTAAATGTAAATAGAATTAGTTGTGTGATAGCTTTTAATGCGATCAAAAATGATTGGCTGTCTAGTCGCCTTTGAAATTTTTGTTTACATGGGAAATCGTATTTAACTTGAACTTCCAAAGGCGACTCGACAGCCAATCATTTTTGATCGCCCGATATTAAACGAATATGCAAGTATTCAGGGGGTCCCAACGAAAATTCGACCCTCCTTTTACTAACGATGTGATCATGTACCGTCGTTAGTGACTTTAATGACCGTGCTAACTTCACGGATCTTTCGTCTCCCTCAAAATCCAAATTGAGCTGTTTCGGAACTTCTCCGAAAAATGCCCGGTTTTCCAGAAAAGGAGGGTCGAATTTTCGTTAGGGCCCCCTGCATACTTACACACTCGTTTAATATCGGGCGATCAAACATGATTGGCTGTCGACTCGCCTTTGGAAGTACAAGTTAGGGCCAGCTTTACAATTACACTTTTACGCAGAATAAGATATCCTTGGAATAACTGCCATAGCAACATGTATCTCATTGGTTGACACAATTGTAACCAACGCAAACGTTGACAGTTATTCTAGGTATAGCTTATTCTCGGTATATACCTGCATCATTGTAGAATCGGCCCTTAAATACGATTTCCCATGTACACAAAAATTCTAACAGCGACTAGACAGCCAATCATTTTTGATCGCATTGTATTTTACATTTACTACCTAGAAAGTACAAACTCGTATGTTTATTTATGTACGGTAGGTAGGTACATCAATATGCCGGCCTGTGTGGCGCAGTTCAGTTGAAGCTGGACTGTGGTGCTAGGGTCCCTGGTTCGAATCCGGGTTCGGGCATGGATATTTGTAAATGTATAGTGGGTTGGGTTGGTAGAGCAGCCTTGGCTGAAACCCCGCCCACTCAAAAAATAAAGGCTAAATAAATAAAGGCTAAATAAATAAATATTCCATGTACTGGCTAGCGGGATTTAGACAGTAGACAGTACTAGTGTAATCCTATGATGAACCGCACGTTGAATCAGTCATGAGCAGTACTAAATAGTACTGCTGTTTGCTTATGCCCTGGTTATTAATTTCCCGTGTACTGGCTATCGGCATATGGACGGTGGCCAAAAATATCGGCGTTCTTCATAGGTAGTAAATTTTTGCTGTCGTTTTAAGATAGTACTCAAACGGTACTACAGAGTACTGATGTACTGGCGCGTACTGGCTATCGTGTACTGGCTACCTTCACGCACGCGTCCCTTTCGTATTATTCAAATTTATTTGTTTAATTATTCGGTGATTTGTTAATAATAATTAATAGCGTTAAACACAAATGAACTATGATGGTTTATTTAGTGTAATAAAACAAAAATTAGCTTGATTTAAAACTTTTGATAATACCCAATTGTGGGGATGCACTAGTCAGAGCCACATAAATAGTATACAGAAGTGGCAAAATAAGATACTGAGGATTATCGTCAATGAGCCGTGGTACTTAAGGAAGAAGAGATCCAACAATCATGTTGCATTGTATTTTGAGCTCTGCGTTGCAATTTAAAAATACACCGCCCGTGGAAACTGTGGTCTCAAGCACGGATTGTGTAGGAAACTATGCTTCGAAAAAAATAGGGGGAAATCGCGTATAATCTCTATTAAAAGATTTAAAAAAACTCCACACCATTATAGATATAGGAGAGATGGAGAAATGCGGAATGGTTATAGGCTTCACGAAAGAATGCCTCACACCCACCCTATCCCGTAGTAGAGATACATCGCAGAGGTTTGCGCCAGATATTCTTTTTATAATCTTTTTCGAAAACCTCTGATGTAATAAAGTGGCTAGTAGTCCGAACAAAGCTACTCTAAGAAAGTATATGATCAATGCAGAGAGGTTCTGGAAAAAGTCCATTTAGACTTCCTATATAGGCCCAAATAATGGTAGTTTATTTAATAATTTTGGATGCTTATTCAAAGTGGCCTGAAGTCTACCAAATGAACAAAATTGATACACATAACACTCTTTGTAGGTTAAAAGATTTTTGTGCAAGATTTGGCTTGCCTAAGAAAATAATATCTGATAATGGACCTCAACTTGTCTCTGCTGAGTTTGAAAAATTATGTGAAATGAACAAAATTAAACACATTACCTACTACCGCACCATACCACCCCTCATCAAATGGAGCTGCGTAAAATCATTTAAAATGGGTTTAAAGAAAGCTATGTTAGACCTTTCTAACAGGGACATTCAAATTGTAAACTTTGGTTTCCAGATATTTATTTAGTTATCGAGTCACTCCTCATTGTACGACAGGTGAAACTCCCGCAAAGTTAATGCTAAAAAGAGAGTTAAGAACTAGATTTGACGTATTAAGGGAAAGCAAAGCTGAAGTTAATACTGAAAGGCAAATAACAAATTATAGCGGAAAACGAAATTTTCTCTTTGATGTAGGTGATACGGTGTGGATTCGAGACTATAAATGCCCAAATGACCCAACTTGGGTAAAAGCACAGGTCGTTGAATGTTTAGGAAACAGACATTATTTTTGTAGAACATTAATAGAAAAAAAGGTTTGCAAAAGACATGTTGATCAAATGAGGAAAGCTGGTGTTATGATTAACAAGGAATTAATTGACCCTAAAGAGAGTGTTCAAAGTTTTAGCCCTACTCTTAATGAGATACCCGTAGTGCAGGAAAGTATAATTCCTATAATATGGAAGTATTCACAAAGAGCCTATTGTTTCAGAAACAAAAAATGAGTCAGAAGGTGAAAAAAATACAATAGATGTAGGGAAAGATATAGAAAAAAGTGTCAATGATGAAGTCTTAAAAAACGGTAATGGTCATCCTAGTAAGGTTGCTTTAAACATTAATGAAAGGCCTAAAAGGGTTATTAAGCCTGTTCAAAGTTTAAATTTGTAAGATTAAGTTAAGAATAAGTGCTATTTTAGGGGGAAGAATTGTAGCAAAGAGTAACCATAATTTACTCTTTGATTGTAGTAAAGTAGGTAGGTTACTGGCGCCCTCTAGTAGTAAGTAAGATATGTAATGTTTGATGTATTAGTTGCTGTACTTTTGCATATTATTACAGTTATTAAATATTGTTTATTGAAGCATACTTATTATTGCTATTTATGGATTACCACCAGCAAGGAGCTACTATATTACATCTGAGGTTCATCTTAGTATCATCTTACTCATTTCAGAAAAACTTCTAAAACCACCGTCCTGGAGCCAGACTCAATGAAGAGACTAACGATCTTAAGATCTAATCATGTACTTTTCAGGGATAGTTACTATAATTAACGTTTCCCAGTTCAATATAGTTACTTAATCTGGCATAGGATTAAAGTCCCTAGAACCAATCTAGGGACTTTAGCATAGGATATGATGATCCCACCAGCCATCATCATGGGACCTACTATTTATGAGAGCTAATTTACGCACCAACCCTAAGCTTGTTGCTGATACCGGACGTAAAACCTAAGGCTTGTTTCATAGGTCAACCATAGTGGGGCGTTGCAGGACAGTACATACAGAACGGAGTATGTAAAGTTGCCTATTGTCAATTCCCAAATTTGGTTATTAAATGATATTAAATTTGTGTTCGATGGTAGAAACATAAACTTAGTCCAATTATAATGCAGATTTTCTATCTGCATAAAACCAGCCACGCGGCGGAAGCTATCTTTTCGCGCTTTTGAGGAAAACTTTTAAGTTGTTTTTCCAAGATAACTTATCTATAAATGAAGTTGGAACAATTTCCAAAATTAGGATAAGCTCGTAAACTTAATATCTAGGCAATAACGCCAGGAAAATTTTTTTCTTTTTTTCTTTTCCAAAATATGACACCCTAACAGCCATCGACGTTGCTCTTAAAACAAAGATCATTTTAAAACATTTTAGTAAATCCCGGCGTTATTGTCTAGCTAAAGCATTCACCTTTCGCAGGAATATTCGGCCCCTTCTTCATCTTCACTCAGAATTCAGATATCGTGCAACGAAATCAAGCGTTTTCGGGTAACGGAACGGGCGTACTGTCCAGCCTTAATAGTTCATTATATCGTACACCACCTCATGTTATATATACTTGCCTTAGACGATCTAATAAGACTATAGGATCACTAGGTTTTCATGATCAATAGCATCTTCCACAGCTACACTTTGAACTAAAAGTGCATAATAAGCATCAGTCCCTATCCAAGAAGCTTTTTCCAATAATTTTAATAGATACCACATGGAAATGTTTGACTTCTGTTGGCAATGAAATTTGCACATTTCCATAATATGGAAAAGCAACTTTAATTATATAAGCGATAAATAAGGTAAAAAAAATTGAAGCAAAAGTCAATGAAACATATTTATTAGAACTAGAACTAGAATACAAAGAAACATAGATTAAACACAAACTCAAAAACTCAGGAACTCAAATTCAAAAACGAAGAAACTCAAATGTAAATTCTAGAAAAAATAATACTGAATTTTTTCTATTAATATTAAGTCTTAGTATTTTCCACAGCCATTAATCACATAAGTTCAGTGATGTAAATTTAAGCATCAGTTCGTAAGAACTTTTTGCACATTTGGCGTAAAAATACACATTCAAACGTCATTAACCAACTAGCAATCTGATAGAGTACAATTATTGCTATTATAGCAACATTAACAGTAACGAATCGTGACACACTGACGCCTATTTGTAGCCAGGAGCCCTCATTTGTTACAAAACATAATAAAGTAATAACCATTAAATCGCAAAAGAACATCAGAACAAGAAAGGAAAAGTGAGAAGAACCCATCATTCTGCCAACCAAATTCTTGAATCCGCAAAGAACAATTAAGAACGGAATGGTAAGTTTAATCAAAATTAGGCCGGCCATTGTATGGGGACTAAAGATCGTCACGAAGCACCTGACCCACATTGGATCAAATGAATTCATACTCGCCGTGTTTCCAACTCCAAAATAACCGAACATAACAAACATCAGCTGTAAAAAATAAATTAAAATGTATTCGACACTTTGCATATTTTACCAGGAAGAATGTATATTCTATCATACGAAGATCACCAGTATTGTATAGGGTTAAACGTTGATTCATATTGGCGTGTTGCAGACGGGACTTTTCTGTGCTAGACCACTTTACAATAACTCTCATAAACAAACCCAGGAAGATGTGTTCAAATCCAATGGCCATAAGTGTATACGGAACTGCTAATGCCAACACGCTACTCAAAATTCTAGTGTCCAAATTCTTATAGAAAATAGTCGGAATAATTGGGGATACCACTAAAAAAAATTAATTACAAAAATTTTCTTCTCTTTTTAAACTTACCTAGTAAAATCCACGACATTAACTGATTAATCGTTAGTAATCCGTACCCATTTGTAATAGTGTAATTTACCATGAGGACATTGAGGTAGGCAAAGGCTAATAACAAAAATTGGCCAACAAAAAGACATCTTTCAATAAATGGAATCTTTCTCCTTGAAAACCGGAAGTAAAATTCTACCCACAAAGAGGCTGCGATCATTCTGAAATGAAGTATGTGTTAGTTTTAAAAATTGACTTGCACATGTTTTGTACTTACAAGTAGATGTAGCTGAATTCAGTTTGCAATTCTAGAAAAAGAGGGCAGGCTGCCAGAAGCATCAAATCAATTACATGGTTACGCCACTCCGCGAAATTTTTGAAAAGGTCCATTTCATAAAAAGATTTCCAAAAGTAGAGGATCGGAACGATACACATATAAGAACGGTCGAAGAACGATGCCACCTACAATTACACTTTCGTAAACTGTAATAAAGAGCGAACTCTTACCAATAACACAATCCCTAAGGAATATCTAATAAATTCCATCAGGTGAGTCCTCGTGCTCGATCGCCAAACGAACACAAAAATTAAACTGAGAACGTGTTGATTTATCGCGATTGCGTAATAATTATTTATCATCGCAGTGTATAAATAATCTGTTGGCAACACTCCAACTGGAATAACTAATTTATTTAAGACCTCAATTTTTTTGAACTTACCAAACACGAGTAAGTGTACCACTGGTAGTGTAGAATATATTATGGACTCGAACATTTTCAATGTTTGAATGTGTGTTATACTAAAACGTTCGATACAAAGCTTTTTACCAAATCTACTCGCTTTAATAATCATTATTACAAGATGCACAATCCACCCCAGGAACACAGTAACAACCAAACCCAGTAGGTACAATTGATGCCTTGTATTATAATTTTTTATTAGATTCTTGCACAGTTTTATCACTTGGAGTGCACTAGCGATCTAAAAAAAACACCTCACCATTAGCGAGATATAAACTGAGCTATACACTTACCGCATCATCAAAATTTTGCTCTTGGATATCACTATGAATTCTATCGAGTTTACGTTGTAATGCTTCTGGCTCGCTATCTGGATACACCAGTTTGGACATCAATCTAGTGCCTTTTTTTGAAAAGGTACCTTGTTTCCTTAGGAGCTGCTCGGTTAATTGACGGCTGTTGGCGTACAAAATATGAGCTTTTTCTGATGGCAAGGCGTCGAGCAGATCAATCGGTACAACACCCTGGAACACAAATGCGAATCAAATATTTCTGCCGATCTAATTTTGGGAGTCTAAGCAAATGTCAAGATTTTGTAACAAAATATGGAATTTGCATAATTCCACAAAAAAAGCTTAAATTCCAATGCTCGGTCAGGTGAGCATTTAAGCAATTTAAATTTAAAATTTAAGCACCAGCCACCCCTCCAATACTGTTGCCTCTACTCGGTGGATACTGCATAGTGTGACTAGGGAATGTTATGGCAGAAGAGTTTTAGGCTTTAGTTTCCGAAGATTTCGCAAATCTCTGAGAGTTGTGGAGTTAATCCTGATGTTTACAAAGGAGCATGCACAGTATAGGTAACAAAAGGACCGTTAGGTTAAAGTAGCACATTTTTCTGGACAAGATGCGGATGCCTGAAAGTTACAACACTTGCAACTTTACCAGCACAAAGAGTAACTAATCATAAGAGATATAGATTGATATTGCCCATCCTACGTCCTACTATATGAAAAACACCAAACCCGATATTTAAAAAAAAAAAACCTCTTTAAAGTCCCTTAAGGCGGGGATTGCCTGAAAAGAGAAGTACCCATAGTAAAGGACAAAGTTTTTTCCGTTAGACTGTGCTGGTACCTAATAATGAGTAGCGTAACTACAGCAGTTTTCTATACAAATATTTAAATCATTATACTCTCTTTAAGTGGGCCTCAAACAACACAGAGGGAGCTTTAAACAAAATGCAATTTGACTTGCCTAACCACACGACAAGAAGATACAAAACACAAACGCAAGGTTGTTCAGGGCTCCTTACAGACTGCTAGGTTAACAAAATTATAATTAGTTCTCTACCGCACATAACTTGAGGAGAATAATGAACCGCTTGTAACATAACGTATGAAGTAAAAATCGCGGCATGGGGGACTTTCTAAATTAAGGTCGTAAAATTGGTTCACAAGTGGCGACAGGGGATTTTTGTTTGGAAGGGCCCTCACTAAAACTCTCGATTCCTTCAGTTAACGGTAAAACGCCGACATTTCTAAGGAAACTCCTTTGGAAATTCAATTCTTTTACATTGTTACCATTGAATAAAGATGTTTTTATTCAATGTCATTACGAAGTGTGTTTGTTATACTTATATCGATCCAGAGTGCCTATTCAAATAACAGGTAGCGAAGACTTTGTAATTAACGAAATGTTATTACAGTAGAGACGCGTTTTGACTTTTAGGACTTGGAAAAAGTTCAACCATATTTTCGTTTTTTTTTGTATAACGGTAGGGAAATTTCGAATTAGAACAAGCAAAAGCTTTTGTGGAGATTATGCATTTTTGTCAAAAAGTATAGTAAAAGTTTTTCTTCTTATAAAGTCAATCCGAGGACATACGGTATACCGATTTTTTAAAAATTTTTTAGCCGTTTATACCTCAATATAGGTACATTTGTATCTCTCTTCCCCATGTCTTAAATTCGAGGGATGGTCTTTTGTAAATTAGTAATATACAGGCTGATTCTAATTCGGGGGCCATCATGGGTATCTCCGATCTCGGGAACTGTAAGAGGATAGGATAGGTAGGTAGTTTACATTTGGCAAAGTTGTGTATTTTGATGCTTAACAAAATGCAGATTTGAAACTGAAAATTCTGACTACTTTAGGAGATATCCGGAAAAAAAACGAAATTTTGAAAATCGTTTTTGTTTTTACTGAAGTTATTTACAAAGATATTTAATAATAAATGACACATTATTATGGCCACTTTTTTCCCTCTACAAGATGCTAATTTAAAATTTTAAATCCGACATTTCGTCTCCGGTTAACTATCATCAACTTTGTTTTTTCTTATGGAAGTAATTTTTACTTTTTGTGTCATATGATAGAGAATTTTTTTCTGATTTCAAAAATGTACACATCAATTTTTTTAATGTTTGTAAAATATCTTTGTTTGCCTAGAAAACTTTGTCTTAAGTAACGTACGTAAGTAGTTTCTTGCGTTTTTACGAATTAATAGCGTTATTTCTTATTAAAAATAGATGATGTTTTATATTTTTGAAATCAGAAAAAAATTCTTTATCAAATGACACAAAAATTCAAAATTGCTTCCATAAAAGAAAACACAAAGATGGTTGACTGGAGAGGAAACGTCAAACTTGTAATTTAAGTGCCTGAATACACTATGCGTTTTAAACGCATCCTTTCAAAACGCATCCTGCGAAACCGGAAGGTTTTGTGCGTTTACATTACTTGCGGCGACCGGAACGCAACCAGATAAGTGTAAACGCTCGCATTTAAATCCATTGGATGCAGTCATCCGTTCAAAACGGTCCGGTCAAACGGGACCGGTTAAAACGCATAGTGTATTCAGGCACTAAAAGTAGCATCTTGTAGAGGGAAAAAAGTGGTCATAATAATGTGTCATTTATTTTGAAATATCTGTTTTAATAACTTCGGTAAAAAATAAAAACGATTTTGCAAAATTTCGTTTTTCTCCGAAAGTAGTCGGAATTTTTTCAGTTTCAAAACTGCATTTTGTCAAGCATCAAAAATACGCAACTTTGTCAAATGTAAACTGGTCGCCCTCGAATTTGAATCACCCTGTATAGGTCAATTATTACACATTACACTAAACTAATACTAATATAATAGGTACTGTACTATCATTGAATAGAGCTTTATTCAATGCTACTATTGAAGTTCAAAAAATTTAATTTGCAACAAGGTATGGATTTTAAATTTATGGTATTTTAATCTGCAATAAGCAAAGATAAAGAATACAAACCGCATTGCAAATAAACACCCACACAAGGTCGCCGCTTGCCAGACATCAACAACAGTACAGTATACAACCCTTTGTTCAAAAATAACGCAAAATTTTGATATTTGTTGTAAAGGAATGTTACCTATCCCCATTTCTATTGTTTATTTCATACAACGGTAGGTAGAGGGTACACCGTTTGCAATAAATAGGAAAGGGAAACCAAATAAATATCCAAGCAAGGTTGACAAAATAAAAATATACCAGTGAATGATCTTTTTTTTGCTGTCAGCAAATTCTACTATTTACACGCTCTGTTCAACCTTGAAAGAGAATCGCTAAATGATTTAACATAGGCAACTACATAGCCTGCTAGTTTTTTTTGCTCGTAAATTTTTGTCTTTTATTATCTCCATTACACAGTAAGTAAGAACAACTCCATCGCCAGATAAAAGCGCTTATTATGTCTTTATCGTATTTTTTACTGATTTCATAAAACTCATGGTGGCACCCTCTGTGAGAAAGAAGCTACACTGTTGACCGCGATATTAGTCACAGCTGCGTAGTTTATTTCCATTTCGCCAGTTTACATGCCCATTTTTCAGAACTTCATTCACCACTTTTATTATGAAAACTTTTGAGCTTTACATGAAGTACCAAAATATAGATAAGTATTCACGCTACCGATCCCATACACTCGTATTGCTTAAAATGCCCTCTAATTTTTGCAATTAATTCCTAAAGTATGAACTCTTTTGACGCATGTTTTCTAGATTTATAAACATATAAAATATGAGTTTATCAGTTTATATTATATGGAAACTATGCTCTGTACATCTATCTACCTAATACATATTTTTCCAATCATATACACCCCTTGCTTATGAAATGGTGAATGAAGTTCAGAGGCAATACACGCCCCATTGAATTACATGTGCATCACCAGTTGCCTATATTCTCTAAATCCAAACCTTAATGCACAGCTGCCAGAAAGCTAAAAATAAATAATCCTACTTTAAGTTTTTACCGATTTCTAATTAATGGGCCGCCAAAAGGAATCTAGCTACACAATTGTGAAAAAGTGCAACTTTTGATTTACCCACCTGACCATATGCGCTATAAAACAAAGTGTGCGGGTCCGTTAACTTAGCACCACCATTTTAAATTTCCCGCCAAAGAAAGATTGCGCTAGAATTTCTATAGCTAGCGCGATTATAGATTTTGTAACAAAAACCTTGACTTGCGGGGGTTGCTATGTTAACACTAGCACCACCATTGCATCTCATTACTTCCAATACAAGCGACCTAGCGCCAGTTTGAGATCAGCTAGTAGTAGAGCAAAATCTTTATTTATTCAATCATTTCGTCATAGAAACTATAATATGCAATGGATGAAAAATAACACAACAATTTTTGGGCTATTTGGTGACTTTTAACTCATTTACTTCATTTATTTATTTATTTATTTATTATCCCTCTCTTGTTCTGGGCCCTCACCAGGCTTGCGCCCAATTACCCGCATAACGCTTTTTAGAGGTGCCTCTGCAGAAGGTCTTAAGTTGTTCTATACTACTCCGGTAATATATAATATTCGGTAAGTAGATAAATAAACTGGAAAACATTAACCCCCACCTCAATCTCAATTCGCCATTATTTTATACCTAGCGACAATTTCATTTAAATAATGGTCAGGAAAATTATGTGTGGAATATAATACAGTGTATTGCAATTGCTCAGAACCAAGTAGATATTTTTTAAAGAGACATTACAGTAAGGATGCAAAGATTTCTGTTTATAACGATGATCGGGCATTAGGCCGCCGTCATTGGGCCGCAAAGGAAGTAGGCTGCAGACATTGGGACACAGATATTGGGATGCAGACACTGGTTTTGTTAAGTACATGCAATTTCAAAAACTTTTCCTTCCTTCCTGATTTCTTTAACAATTCAAAAACAAATGCACTTCATCTTATTTTGATTTCTTACCAAAGAGTTTATAGGAATGTTGATCCCTACTAAAGATGCCAAAAACGGTGCTATGTCTGTTTGGTTAATGTTGATAGGTTTATTGTGTGTGTTGATGCCAGCGCCCCAAGCTATGAATGGAACTTCGGTTTCATGTTTCGAGCCATCACCGTGAGATCCCCAATTTGTCATTCCATGGTCAGCAGTAAATACATATGCAGTCCTTCCATCATTAAAATACTCGTCGAGGAGTTCTACAGTAGATTGAATTCCGTCATCCACAACTTTGATATTAGTTATGTAACCCCTAAGAAATACGCAATTAATATCTAATATAAATAAATAATATATGAACAAACACACTATCAATTTTCTGAAAATACACAAGAGTGGTGTGTTACATTTTGTCAAAAGTCTTTTGTTGTGTCAAGCAATAAAATTCTTACTTCGATGTCGGTTTAATGGAATGTCCGGCAGTGTCCAATCCGAGTAAATGTAAGAACAAGATATTTCCCTCGGCACGGAAGTCATTGTAAGCAAATGGAGAACGGGGTTGTTCTTCCACAAACTTTTTAACTTTATCAAAAACCCACAAGTCTAAAACTGTGGAGGCATTATCCTTGCCGGAAAAGTCCTGCATGCCGGCATCGTAAGAGTCGATGTGAATGTGTGGCAACCCATCTAGAAATAAAGTAATTATGTTAACGATCGAAAATTCCAAATCAGCCGGTCACTTGCAACAATGTCAAAACGGATAATCAACAATTTACCTATTTATACCATTCTTCCACCACCTAACTCTACACATACACAAAAAGAACTAATTTTGGATAGTTTTTTTTTATTGCAATCTTCAAACAAGTCGTCATAGTAAATGTTATTATCATTGTCTATACCTAAATTTCACATTGCAAAAAAAGTTGAAAATAACATTTCAAACTCCCCTTCAAAGTAAGGTGACTAACTAAACGTCTTAGTCCTCTTTATTGCAAAAATTGAAAATAAAATATAATAATCACACAATAAGAAAGTGATATTTCTACTCTCATATTAAATTAACAAATGAACTTATACGCTCTTAAAAAATTATTTATGTTAATCTGTTCCGTTTTGAATGACTTTTGGGGGAGGGTCCTGAAATATTTTGTTATAAATTTGCCAAAGAGATTTGAAAGACCTTGAGATCTGCATGCTCCAAGGTCATTCGATTCTGATGTGTTTGTCAATGGAAACAGGTCAGTTAAACGAACCTGGTTTTGTTTAAATGTGTGTACCAGGCCCGTAATTGGCGGATGGCCATGCGCGGTTTAGCCCCAGGTAGAACATGGTCTTGCCCCCTATACAAACAATGGTTAGTTGTTTCAATGGCTCCTTTACAAAATACAAAAATATATGTCTACCAGACTCAACGTACTACATGCAAATTACAATGGGATAGACTAAACAAAATCAAGGAAGGAAACAACAGTGGTTTGTGCACCCTGTAAACAAAGATATTTAAAGTACCACAATAATTCCAGACGGATGATCCCTTTTGGTGATACCAAAATTCTAATGGTTTACAATGCACAGTCCAACCCTGATATTTTATTACCCATCAATTTACACCATTATTAACAAAATAAACAGCCTTGAAGTACAGACGAGTCTCACAATCAGTTTTTCAGAATTTAAATATTCAATAACAGCATACGTTGACATAACACCCTATACTTCCCCTAATACTCAAAACAAACTGGATGAAGGTAACGTTTTCAAACTCTACAAATGCCACAAGGCACGCATCTGAACTTTATTTTGGTCGCTTTCTACAAGCATTAGTTTACCCCCCTACTGTGCAGATTTATCGAAATTCTCTGGATTCTTAAAATGTAGGAACCCCCCCACCAGTTTTCTTACAGAAAGTAAAAGCCCACCCATTGGTGCACTTAACCTTTGGTCTTTTTATACAGGGATTTTTTTCTACGCGAGCTCCTGGTCTAATTACTACTCAAGCACAACTTAGCATTACCCTTTACCTTTATTAAACATGTCTACAATGTCAGGACTACCCCAACACCAAGCGTTCGTGCTTTGATTTACCACCGAGTCGAAATCTACCGGATTTGATCGCCAACCCTTCAGAATAGCCCTGGGATCTTCGTTAAATCCTGCCAAAAGAGCAATATGTCCTGGTCGTGACTCTGTCGGAACCTGAGTGTGCGCGATGCCCCACACACCAACGTTTTCTCTAATCGACCTTCAACAGCCACAATAAAATTCAAGAAGTTTATTTAACAAGTTCATACTTTAAATAAGGGGCGTGTATCTCATGCTCGTCATAGAGGCTCGTAGCTCGTAAGCCATCTGCCACAAACAGAACGACTCGTTGTGCTAGGACTCCACCTTCTGTGTGGTGTGGTGTCATTCCATGTTCGACTGGCGAATAGAAATAAATATCGAAGACTGCACATAACATGGTTATGTGGACCAGTACCGCGATCACGGCGGCTTTTCGAAAGGGGGCCACCGGGTCCATCTCAAAGCTAAGGAAAAGTAGGGTTAAGTTGAATTCAATTAATTGAATTTTTTCAAAATAACTATTTGATCTTACCTTCGGCTTCAGCATGTACACAAGAGTAGTTATTTGAACAAAATTAAACTAAACATAAACTGTGAAACTAGTGTGTTTAATTTTCATACGGCACTTAACACAAAAAGCGTAAAAAAGCGTGAAAGATGGCGAAGCAAAAGGCTGGCGTGAATGGCTGACGGTGACAGTGGCGGGAAGCTACTTAAAGGCTAACTAGATAACAGGGCCGTATAAAGGGTAATTTCATAAACGTCAGGACCCAACTGGATAGAAACAATCAATACATACATCATTGTTGTCCGTTAAAACAGTTTAATTTAAAATTAATGCAAAAATCCTCACTCTCCTCAGGGGGTTTGCGGACCCGAGCGGATGGAGAGAGGCTGACACCGCATCAAATAACTTGCCTATCCATTTTGTTCTTATCTTCTATATCCCGTAACCTAATGGTATTAACCGTGCTGATCGAATTATGTATGGGCATTGTATATGTATTACATACAATGGTATGGGGTTGCGCTGTTGGGACCCTAACGGTTAGTGAGCCAGCCCTACCATGACAATAGGAGCCTGGGGAGCTCCGGTGGGGATCACCGATTCATTCTCTACGTACCCTTCATAGCTGGCAACAACTTTAATAGTGGGAGCGGCCCGTGAGAACAAACGGCATTTCGTATTAAAATTGTGCCTCTTGGAACAGATGTTCCCTAGACGTATTGGAGTGATTTGAGTCGCAGAGCCGGAAGTTCCGTCCCTTAGGATTGAAAATGGCGCCAATTTTCAAAATTGAGGCGAATTTCAGGAAATATCTGTTTTTAGAGCGATTTTTACGTTTAGAGTGACGTTTACGAGGTTTCCGAGGGTGAAAACGACAAAAACAATATCCGAAGCTAATTTCTGTGTGGGAAGCATGATTGTATGATATCTTTAACGTCCGACAGGATTCGAAAGTTTCTTGGAAAGTTTGACCGATTTTCGTGGTTGAGGTGGCGTTTTTGAGATTCTTTTGGGTGAAGATGACCAAAAAAGACCCATTAAAGACCTTTTTCTACAATCGATATCCAAAGTAGGCATTTGCGCTCCTATTTGACAACGCAAACGTCATATTTTTCGAGGAATGTCAATTTGTCGCTTATAAGCGACAAAATAAAAAAAACGCTCGCTCTCCAAATTATAAACTATAAATCAAATATGCATTGCTCAGAGTATCCAATGACAACGAGTAAATGACATCTTTCATTTGGGCATAAGATTAAAATAATAATCTATATTTGAGTGAAAAATTTAAATTTTTGGAAATATGTGAACTGCTCGATTGTAGAAAAAATCTTGTGTGTAATTCGAGCGCAAATTGATTGTTGATTTCAAGAGATTAGCGCGGCAAATGTCTCTTTCAATCGACAATATATCATTTTGCGCTCTTAATACACAAATAGCTATTTTTTATGAATTTTTAAGTATTTTGAATAAACAGGTCGAGGTAAACTAAGTGCAAAGGTGAAACTTATTCATTGAATTCGGTTTTTAACTAAAAATTGTTGATTATTGAAACGTATTTACAAGTAAAAAGTCATAAGTCATCAAAAGGGAATGCATCATCATCGCTCAGATCTCCTGTTGCAGTCGAGATATTAAAAAAAAATTTAGTTAGATCATTAAAAATAAAACTCTGACAGTCACGTTTATAAAATTTGCATTTACATATATATTCGGCTCCGATTTTTGCAGTGTTCTTGACAGTTAGAACACTGTAGGGTGCAGGGAAGGCTGTTTCGCAAGCATGAACACCTTATGGTCTCACAAGTTCACTTGCAATCGCATTTCCCTAGGACTGTGAGCTCCTTTCATATTTACACCTATTTGGTCCACTTTGGTTCCCAACCCACTTTACCTCGTGTCCATCCCCAAGTTGACGGATGTGGAGGGCATTCAGTAGGATAGAAGCAGTGCCCCCACAACACATGACCTGCTTCATTGGGGACAGGAACTGCAGTAATTTATTTTTGGTACAAAATAAATATTTTCCCACATTAATAGTGGATTTCTCCTGTGCTTCGGGGTCATAGAGAACGGTAGTAAATTCTTCCAAAGTTTAAATTGTTTTTTTCTGTTATTCCTCTTTGTGAATTTGAGAGTTCAAGTAAAACTGGTGTCACGTCCGGGCGTTTCATCCAAGTCATAAACGCCTTCTTGTTTCCAATAGAATTGAAGCAGGGCGTTGTGGCACAACCTGTGTAACAATAAAAGCCCCGTAGGGCTTGTGAATTTTCTTCTCCAAGTGCTAATACAATCAAATTGGTCGCTATATATCGACGCTTCGCCCCAACACCTGACAGATATCCTTCTTTCAGTCCGAGTTCTTTCAGAAAAAAAAACAAAATATATATGACCATCAGAACGTCAGTATCTCAAGATTGGACGAGGATGTTCTGGGCTCCATGCTCCACCATATCTTTCGCATGGAGGATGATTCACCCGTCCGCCTCTTCTTGCGTAACTTGTATCCCATCAAAAGGGAAAGCGTTCTCAATCGTAGGAAAATGCGGCTGCAAGTTAACTTGTGAGACTATGAGGTACCCATGCTTACGAAACAGCCTTCCCTGCACCCTACAGAGTTCTAACTATTTTTTATTTGTATATATGTACATGCTTATTATAAACATGACTGTCACCAGTGTCACCGTTTTATTTTTAATGGTTTTAACTAAATATTTTTTATAGCTCGACTGCAACAGGAGATCTGAGCGATGATGAGGCATTTCCCTTTGATGACTGATGACTTTTTACTTGTAAATACGTTTCAATAATCAACAATTTTTAGTTAAAAACAGGATTCAATGAATAAGTTCCAGTTTTGCACTTAGTTAACCTCGATCTGTTTATTCAAAATACATAAAAATTCATAAAAAAGGCCTTTAATGGGTCTTTTTTGGTAATCTTCACCCAAAAGAATCTCAGAAACCCCACCTCAACTACGAAAATCGGTCAAAACCTTTGAATCTTGTCGGACGTTAAAGATATCATACAATTGGCCTATATATGATAAATTAAACATGCTTCCCACACAGAAATTAGCTTTGGATATTATTTTTGTCATATTCACCGTCGGAAACCTCGAAAACGTCACCCCAAACGTAAAAATCGCTCTAAAAACATATATTTCCTGTGATTTTTAAAAATTGGCGCCATTTTCAATCCTAAAGGGACGGAACTTCCGGCTCTGCGACCCAAATCACTCCAATAGGTCTAGGGAACATGTGTTCCAAGAGGCACAATTTTAATACGAAATGCCGTTTGTTCTCACGGGCCGCTCCCACTATTAAAGTTGTTGCTAGCTATGAAGGGTACGTAGAGAATTCCAAGTGGCACAATTTTAATACGAAATGCCGAATAATACCAATATTTATCACGAGCCGCTCCCACTATAAAACGCACTCTTTGTATGGGCAGTGTTTCAAAAACCGGGTTGAGAGTTGGGGGGTTTCAATTGGATACACTTCAGAGTCCGGTTCGGAAAGGTTACTCCCTACTTAATTGCAAATGGGCGTTAAAGTTTTTGGAAAGGCTCCGCATCTTTTCCAGGACTTTCTATGCGTGTTGATAGTTTTTAGGTCCTTTATGGAATTTTATAGGCCTTGTCAGTGAATTAATTTTATCTCTTTTCAAACCTTCATAGACTCTCTGTGCTCCGGAAATTACATTGAAAGATCTGGAGCCTATATGATTTCATAAATAAATCAATATCAATGTCATAATGTAAGGGAAGGTACTTACAAATTACAATTCATTCATTGAAAGACATATTTAGGAAGTCTTCATAGTGGTACTTATATACTGGGTTCTTTAGAAGATGGCTTCTTAGACCAGATATGGTAGAGCTTAATACCTGTTCCTTGCTATAGTGTAGTCTGCATTTAGGGGGCATACATAGGTTGTTATTAGGATTATTAGGATATATGAAGCTGGACAGGTAAGTATGTATTTTGTACGGCTTACAGGAGATTTGGCTGTTTATTCACTCTAGACTTTTGATAGTCCGTTTTTGTTCTTGAAGTATTTGTTCATTTCCATATTTCTATCACATATGTCATAGTAAGGGTCTTAAAACCGTGAACATTGTTGCTGGCTGCTGTGTAACTTGACCTGTACCGTCATCTGGGGTGAAGGCGGATAGTTTTTGGATTTTTTTATAGATTAGTCCCACGCCATTAGGGCAAAAATTGTCAAAAAAATTAATGTATACACCTCCATATTTGTAGAATGTGATTTCATATAGCTTTTGAAGAAAAATGTTACCCCATTTTTTTTGTCTAATGTTGTCCGCTTTCGCCCCTATGTGTGGGGTGAAGATGGACACCCATTTAATTTGCCTGTAAATTATTCTTCACACTATATATGGGGCGAATTCAGACAGAAAAAAATTATAAATATGTTTTTTAACACAAAAATCCAAAAAAAATGCAATTTACATAACGAAAACTCTTATTTTTATTCTCAAAAATACAAAAACATAATTTGAAAATACAACTCAATATTATAAAAGACCATAACACATTTAAAAAATAAAATCTATTTCTAAAAAGTCTAAAAATCAAAAATATTTGGCATTTGTTAAGGTCGAAAGTCAAAAATATTTGAGTAGGTACCTAGGTAACAACATTTTTTGTTCATTCGATTCTAACATCGTATTTCCCCAAACTGGGAAATTGAAATCTCTCGCGTCTTAAGAATTTGACATCCTTGATAATTTGAAAAATTTGGAGGCCCTCTACTAAGCTCTGATCTTTGGTATTGGGGTACACAAAGTGGACCCCAGTTTTCTCTGATTGTTGTTTCCTTAAAAAATTAACACAATAAACGTTTTTGGCTTCATCAACAATTTCTAAGACACACCCAACATAATATTTATGGGCATTCTTAGGGCAATTAAATTTCACTAACACAAAAGTTCCCTGTATAACATTAGATACTAAATCCGCATCAGTCTCTAAATCCTCTTGACCACAGTTTTCCTTTTCATCACCATCAGTCACATCTTCGAGTTCTAGATCGTCATCGTTTGATTCAGTCTCATCTTCTCTTTCACTATTTTTTTCTAAGTCGCTGTTTATATGGTCAGCGCAGCTGGTGGATGGAGCCTCCAAATCTTTGCGTCCAATTGATTTTCCAGGTGCGATCTTTAACTTTTTACCTCGCTTTGGACGAAGATCTTGCGTTGCCGCCAACCGACTTTCTTTCAGAAATTCCTGTAACGTTGTTGTCCAGTGCTTCTCATTTTGCCGCTGATCTTGCTCTTGACTGGCATCGACATCTGGTATTTTACTTAAAACCACATTTGGATCGAGTGGGATAATTCCACATCCTCTAAAACCGGACTTAATGTTATTTTCAATGTTTTCTATATTTTTTATACACTTGTTGAACAAGCGGGGAAAATCAGATTTGGGTATACACCCTCTATTTTTGTTTTTCCACTCTCTTAATATCTCACGCCACGCTTTCTTCATAGGTGCAAAAAACGCCACGTCTAACGGCTGTAGAAGATGTGTTCCATTGGGAGGAAGCAACACAAAGTTGATACTATGTTGTTCACAGGCTTCTAAAACATGGAGTGAAATGTGACTTTCTAAATTATCTCCGATTAGCACCTTCTTCCCAAGGAGATTTCTAAAATACGGAAGGATAATTTTGTCGAACCAATCCTCAAAAGTCATAGCGTCGAACCAGCCTGACTTGGTTCGGTTGTACATCGCTCCCTCGGGGCCGTCCTCTATCCACGTGGGATACAAATGTACAGCCTTATACACGACATAGGGAGGCTGTAAATGTCCAGCTGCAGTGATTGCCATCATTACCGAAGTGCTTGATTTGCTAACATCCATGATTCTTTCAACCCTTTTAGAACCTCTTCGACAAAGAACTTTTTGTCTACCTGGATCATCTGTCAGGTTTGTCTCATCCTAGTTGACAATATGAGTAGGTTCAACACCGTCCAAGCTCTCTTCTAAGTTTTGAAAATATTCTGTTATTATTTCTTTTGATATATTAGCCCTGCACCTCTTAATATTTTGCGCAAATCTGTCCGTTAAAATGTTTTGTCTTTGAAGAAATTTATAAAACCACTCTGGACCAGGGAAGTTGTCTTTAAAGATTTTAATTTTTTTACCCTGCCGGTCAAGGTAACCCTTTACAAGCAATCTTATACCCCCGCGAGTCATGGGGAAACCCCATTCACAAAATTTGGTGATGCCATCTGCAATCATTTTTTCTTCTTCGGAAGAAAGTTTAGTTTGACCTCCATGTTTTTTTGTTTTTTTCTTTTTAATTTTGTCATGCAGTGTAGATTTTGGAATTTTGTAGCACTCTGCAGCCTGCCTTATAGTTTTCTTGTCCGATTTAATGTCAGCAAGAGCATTTTTTAGGGTTTCCTCCCGATAATTCATGAAATTTATACCAATTTTGTGCTTGTAAACTCGAACCATGGTGTCCGACTTCACCCCACCTAATGACAATTATTTATATATTAATTGATTAAACAAAAACTAAAGACATTGTGATTTTGATTATTCGTACAAATGTTAACTCCACATCAGTGAACATTTTAAAGCCAAAACAAATTTTATACGCCTTTACGTTTTTTATGGGCAATTGTTTCTTTTCAACGTTTGGGAAGTTGACAAAAACCGAAGTTATATAATCTCTTACCTGTAGGTCCCTGAAAAATTTTTTTTTACTCAACCACCTCACACATACAATAGCTACTCACTACTGGCCCGATTCGGCAACTTACCGCGGAAAAATACCAAACCGGTAAGATGCCCTTGACGGAATTACAAAACACGTGTCTATGTCCGCTTTGGCCCCTACTGTCCGCCTTCACCCCAGATGACGGTATGTAAATTTCAAAGAAAATGAATGCGCTTTAAATTCAATACTAATTTATTGAATAACGGCTATTCCAGTAAACATATAAAAATTTAAAAAGTAGAAAAAACAAAGTATAGACATTTAAAATCAAATAGTTGAGCTTATTTCGATCAAATAACTAAGATCCTTAATACCATGCGTCATTGGCTACAAAATCTTGACTTAGAAATAAAATTAAGATCACAAATGGGAAATAATATTAATAATAATAAAGAATCAATGGACAATACCTATTAGTTTTCATCACAATTCATAGGATTTGCTAAATAATGACTTTTCCAGTCTTGATGTTCATTTTTATAACATAAAAGTGGTATAACAAACACTGAAACGTCATCAACGGACGCCTGCTTGCCACATTTCAGTTGCCAAGAATGCTCATTAACTAAACTACCTCTCGCCGAGCCAACTAAACATGTAGCAGCACTCACGTAACGTTCTTTCTCACTAAAAATGCCTAAGGCTTTCGAAACAACTTCTGCGGCTTTAGTTCCACTAATGACATCCCATAAACCGTCCGTTCCCATCACTAAAACTTCATCCTGTTGGGTATTATCGAGACGATGGACCTGCACTTCTGGATGAGGTGACAAAAATGGCTTTATAGGAATCTTTTCAAGCTTCTGGTACACGGCGATTAGGTCATGGTCGCCAAAGCCACGTGTCACACCTATTGTACCCATCACTCTACTCTGTAATATATACATAATAAGATAATTGAAACAATCACTATAGCCGACACACCCTTTTTCCGTGACCAGTAATCACAGGTTTCTTGATATCTTCAGCCTCCACAGTTTTATATGCCCACCCTTTCATGTGGGCATCTCTATACATAACCGGTTTTCCTAAATCCATGATGTTTGGTTGTTTAATGTACTCGCGAAAGGTAAATTCTTTCCCTGTAACAGTACGCTATTTTTAAAATGATGTCAAAAAGTTTGTGTACTTCAGTTTGAGGCTTCAGTAAAAAATAACCATGCGTAAGGCCAATTTTAATAGATATGGTATCCAAGTAAAGCCTCCATTTCAAAAAATTTTGAGCTTAGTTTGTTCATATGGCTGTCCAAAATCATTTTTCTTGTAGTCACTTTGTACCTCGTTCCATAAATGAATGATCTGGTTCGTCCAAATCGTTGGTTCCACTCAGATGGACTGAAGAACAGTTGAATTTGAATCAGACAACCCATTCACAAAACTGTAATGGATTGGGAATGAGGATAATATGTAGAAAATGGTCCCAAAAAATCTTTCAGAAGAACAAAATGCATTAACTGAAAATGAAATCCGTTTCTTGTAACTTGTGATTACTAGTATGGACCAGAAACCAAACAAAAGTGAATTTTTGATGAGTAAAAATTTCCTGCCATGACAAGGTACTCAAAAAATACGCATTTTGGAGGAGGAGGGGGGGGGGGTTAGTCTTAAACCTCGCCACATGTCACCAGGAGGAAGGGGAAGGGGTTAAAAAGTTGCTGAAAACATCATGTGATGAATCGACAACCCCTTTCCATTGCCCATTACCTCAATGGTTCGATAATGAAAATAGAGAAGAGCATAATGTATTTATATTTACAAAAAAAATAGTACATACGAAACTTTATTTAACAAATGACCATACGGAACAGCTATATATACCTACCTACCTAAACTATGTTGTACTTAATATGAAGAGTTAGAATGACTAGAAAAGACACGCCAAAAAAAACCTATAGAAATAATTCAAAAAAATTAGTAGTTACACTTTTTAAATAAATAACATTTTCCTACGCAAGTGGGCACGAAATAATTCCGCATGGAGCGTACAGCTTGAGGAGCCGAAAGATGAATAGCTTGTCGACTATGCTAGAGCTAACATGTCTCAAACTTAACCCCGAGAGCCCTCAATTGAAGATGAGCCACATGTTGAATCCACTCCCCTCTCTCGAGGTCCTTGTTCAATGAAGTAATTGCTCCTAAATGTAACTAAAAAGTCAAATTGTATCTTTATACATTTCTTCTCCTTTAGATGAACCCTTAGATTATACAGATCCTTTTCTTGAAAACCCTGATTTTTCTTATAGAGAAGTGGGAACCTAAAGGCTATGCTTACTCCTCATAGTTGACATTTGTCATGAAAAATGTCCAAAACTTAAAACAGTTTTTAAACTGTACCTCTAGCATGGATTGTAAATTGAATGAAACATAATCACTTACTACATCTAAAGATTGGAGGAGACACTCACCTAATAGTGCAGGTTGCTGCTCTGCCAGTCTCCTGATTCTGTCTCTTTCAATTTCTGGTGTAAAATCTATAGACATAGGATGATACTCATCACCATTACAAATAATGGCTCGCGAATCACCGGCGTTTGCCACATATAATTTACCTAATATTATTAAAGCTACTAGTGCTGTGCAACCTCCCGCCGCTTGGTATTTATTACGATCTTCCGCTATTAATTGATCCTTAAAAAAGAGCAACATCGTAACTCAAAGTATACAAATTGAGCAGGTACCATCTCTTGGAATGCCGCTTCTAGTGCGCCTACAATTAGCAAGTCTCGAGATTTTACTTGGTGTTCTCCGGTGAATTCCAACCAAATGTCGTCTTGAGCGTCAACTAATTTTTCCTGCAAACAATAATCAACGTACAATACAAAACTGAGGGAGTAATTACGTGTAAAATGTGGTGTAATTGGTTGGCTGCGCAGAGAGCTGCTCCTACACCGGCATGGCCATCAAAAATTCCATAATAAGTATAAGGAATGTTATATGTTTTGGGGCCCAAAATATCATTCGTGGCAACCTTTGTAAGCACCCCTAAACGATAAACTGCTTGATCCTCGTTCCATTTCGATTTGCCCGCATTAACACATTCGGCATAGCCCGCATAATAAGGTAATTGACGACTTGGGTGTATTATGGGCCGTAATTTGTGATCTGCAGACATTTGGACTTCGTCATCTTCGAGATTTAAGAAATGGGGGCGTCTATAGGGAAACTTGGGGGCAAGGTGGTTTTTTTGATTGATGTCTGGACCAGAATGTATGCCATTTACTTCTAATCCAGTAACAGCACCAATCACGACACTTTTAAACCGATTCAACATGTCTATTTGAATCGGTTGTCTATTACAAATTAATTAATTAAAAGTTTAATTTGTCTAAAAAAATGCAATTTTTAATTGTCAAAGTAACTATAAAATTTAATAACAAAAGTGAAATAAGAAGCTGTCAACATTTACAGCTTGTCAGTCATTACTACCAATATAAAAACTAAAAAGAACTGCCATGAAAGGATAATAAATATTTACGTTTACATAACTTTTATCATTGAACCTTTATTTATAAACAAAAGTTCAATGATCTTTAGTTTACAGATGTGATACCCATCCTAAATAATTATCATACCATTGAATATGGAACAGTAGACATAAGTGTAAGGTGTGTTGCCTATGCACCTACTACTAAGGCGTAGAAGAAGCTATACGAGTTATTTTATGTCACTAGTGATAACCTTCCTTTTTTACCAAAAATCGAATGCACTCTCGGGAAAACACTTTTTCTTATTAATTTTGGTGCGTAGAATCCAAAACAATTCGTACTTTTTCGATCAGACTTCTCAATCAAAAGTTATAGACTAGAAACCAATTTCGAAAGAAAATTCAAAGGGCTGTAACTTTTGAACTAGTAGCCCAATCTTGGAACTGTTTGAAATTATGGATTCTACAGGCCACATTCTATAAGAAATTTTTTTTCCGGGTCGATCTGAGACAATTTTTTTTGCGGGGCAAAAAAAGGCAGTGTATAAACCTTCCTTTTCTACCAAAAATCAACTACACCAAAATTTCTCGGGAAAACACTTTTTCTGATTAATTTGGGTGCGTAGAATCCAAATCAATTCGTACTTTTTCGATCAGACTTCTCAATCAAAAGTTATAGACTAGAAACCAATTTCGCCCAGCTCTGCTAGTGACCGACACCGCAGACTATGCCTGCTCGGCGGGATTACGTTTTAATTTAAGACACGAAACTACAGTGGTCATTTTTCCGACGAAATTTGTAAATATATGAAGATCTTGCTCTACCACCAAGGCACCAACTTAATCTCGACCGTAACAAATGGCATAAAATTAATTAAAGCTAAGACGAAGTTCAGTAGGTATAGGTACAGATTAAATAATTAATCTGTGGTATAGGTAATAAACATGCAATTTCCGCTCTACCATGTAACCCATGCAATTTCATTTACAGACAGCAGCGAAGAAGAAATTGTTTAATTACGACAATGCAGCCGTCCATTCGTATCGTCTTGTGTCCCAGAAATTGTTCGATTTGCGTTTCCATTTGATTTCCTACAACCCTTAACCTCTTGATTTGGCTCTGTTTATAAAACTACCTATACTATTTTGAGAAGTTGGAGGAAAAGCACTTCCAGACGCGGATCGCGGGGTTGGGGAAACGCTCTTTGAAGTGCGTTGAGCTTCGGTGGGCTACGTCGAAAAATAAGGTCTATTTTAACTCTTTATCATCGTTATTTAACAATCAAAACAGCTAACTTATCCAATCTCTCGTATATTACAACATCAGCATCGTGTACCTCGTCTTCTATTCTATTCATAAGGGGAGCCCAAGCCCAACGATGCAGCACGTGGCGTATGCCCATTGTACCTACCCTCTTTCTTTCGGACCTAGGTTCAGAGCATGTTCCTCTCAATAAAGAATAGGACCTTCTTTAGCCTATAAGTTGCTTTCATCCTTCCCGGTTCCAGATAACTGTCGCCAAGGAGATGATGTCTGTTTCTGATCATCATCTGCTTCGCCACAGAACCTGCACGTGGGCTCTTCTACAAGCCCAATATTGTGCAGATGATAGTGGCGAGTTGTCGAATTGGCCGGTCACTCAGTGGCGAATTGATCATGTCCCCAAAACCTCGCCTGTGACCAGCATCGTGTTTAACACCACCCACATCCTCTACTCTAAATGAAAGCAATTTGCGCCAACTACAACCAAAGGGGCGCTAGTGTACAGGGTGGTGGTTTGCGCAACGTAGCATAGGATCTACAATGTCATATGAATCTTTTATTCTTCTTTATTTCTCAAACAACAGCACATTAACAATTAACAATTATTAATCCTTTAGTGGCGCAGCTATCAATTTAAAGGGAAAGCCCCCACAAGATAACACTGATAGCATGCGCATATCACATATCCCTAAGGATTTAAATGCTTTCACATCAATGCATACGCATACAGGAGCGCTATTTCACCTTATCGTTGGGAGGGTCCAGTGCTAAGCGACGAAGGCCTATGGGCTATGGTATATTACGTGACTGTTTTGACTGCCTGTACCATGTATCTACTACCTAGGTACATTTACATAGGCATGTTTTATGCCTTTTTGTTTATTCATTTAATAAACAAAGGTTATCCTAAACAGATACGATCCTTGGGGCATCATACGTTACATTTTTACTATAAGTACGTGTGTATTTGGTTTATTTTTTCATATACTTTAGGGGGGGCACGGCCCTCTCCTGCCACCTCAAATGGCGCCCCTCACGCATAAGTGAAAGTACGGAAAACTTTGCTGCAATTCGCGCAAAGACAATTTGATAATTATGTCTAAAATGGCATTCGTAGGAATTTGGAATACGGGGTGTTTTACAAGACTGTTACATATAAGTATAAAATTTAATGAATTCAAATAATTCCGAATTAATTAACTGCATAACAATACTATAAAGTCCTTACAGATAACTAAATTACGTGTTATAATTTAATGTGCACACTATTTTTGTATACCTTTACTTGCCTGCCCTTATCGTCTTTGATAATGCAGTTTGGTCCTTCTTTCGAAATTACTGTATATGGACCGTTCAACCAAGGATCTAATTTACTACGGTTTTCATTTGTGATCAATACTGGATCACCTGGTTTTATTAATCGAATTTCGCATGAATTGGCATCACATTTTCATTTACGACTTCTTTTCACTTTCTCTAGTTACTCTCCAGCTCTTTTTTAAGACAATTGTAAACTATACTTAACTTCTGTATCATATGCGTGGATATTATAGGCGGTTCTACTCGAGATCCGTTAAGATTCTCGGGTAAATCGGCTTTCTTTGCAAATAATAGTTCAAACGGTGTATTAATTATGGTAAGTGCTTGGTGTATGCAAATTATCTACTCCACGCCACTCCACCCCCAAGCTGACTGACCGTGGTCATTTATGATATACAGCCTCTTTTTATTCAATTCCTTTTTTTGTAAATTATTTGTTCGTAGTATCCGATCAACAATCATCTTAAAAACGAATTATTGTTGTACCAACAGGTACAACACCCATAACACCAGATTCACCGCACTGATGAGGTAGATTTACTGTCAATTCAGCAATAGTTCTGGAAATTAGCCCAAATTAAAGACCTTTCAAGTTTCGCTTAAATCCAAGCTTATTTGGACATTGCTAGCTAAAGGTTTTTGTGCGGCCCAGTACAAATCTCTTTAGTGGCTATGATTACAGCACACCTAAGGAACGGAATTAAGTTGTGTATAATATATTGTCGAAAGTTGTAGAGGAAAACCTACTATTATTATTAGGTAGTAAGTACTACAAGAAGTTGAGGAATCGCTAATTTCATATAATTATTTGGATTAAAGCCAAAATACTGGCGAATCTTATATGCACATTTCACACTTACATATTGTCCAAAGTTGTATACAACTCGTGTATCACTAATCACTATGTATTATTACGCAGTAGGTACTACAAGAAGTTGAGGAGTCGGTACTTTCATATAATTAATCGCTTTAAGTTTTATTTTTGATGTACATTTAGTATCTGTAACTTAAAACATAGTTACAGTTGACAAAACGTCAATTTTTACTACTGTCATTTTACTACTGTCGTGCAATGATCGACGAAGGAATTATTATTCAAAATATGAATCAATCAGGTCAGTTTTCTTTACTTTTGCATATTACACGTGCGTTTTAGTTAAATTGGAACAAAATGAATCGTTTTTAGGTGATGGCGTCGAGGTCTGCAGGGTGTGCGGGAAGTCTTCCGTTCCACTATCCGTCGTGACGCCGGATGACGATTGCTTTGTTAATGCGAGGGAGTGCATGCTTTATGAGGTATTTTTACGTATATTTTATTGTTCAAATTGAGCTCAATTGTATTTTATAGCTTACATCTGCAGGGAAAAGTTTCCCTATTTGCGAGACGTGTGAAGCTTCCTTAATCCATTGTGCGAAGGGAATTATCAATCACTTAACACGATCCAATGTTCTTAAACCAAAGGATTGCCGCTGTTGCTTCATGTGTGGTACCATAAAAGATTTAAGAGACTCCAAACTTGCTAACAAAAAAGCGAACTTTACGATTTTGGAACGTATCAGGCAGCGATTTGGCTACGTAAGTAGAAACTCCTCCATTCCACTTCTGTTCAAATGTTATATTTTGTAGAAAAATGAAAATGACAAGGTTATCTGCAAGACGTGTAGAGTAGGATTTGAGAATTTGTACCTAATGCATTCTGCAGTGAGCGAAACAGCGGAAAAGCTTAGTGTAAGTAGTATCCGAAGTGCAAAAGTACCAATCCCAATACTGGGTCATTTTAGTATTGTACAAACACACTTCACGATCTGAAAGTAAGTGGTGTTCATTCGGTGACGGATAAGGGACCCGAAACTGATGGTTCCAATTCAAAAAATGAAGAAATTGCGGAAATCTATTCACCTGCAACCAGCATTAAGAAAGAAGTGAAATGTACACCCGTGATAAATAATAGCACAACTACCCCTTGTGAGAAAACGGTTGTGCGTAATAACTTGAACCACTTAACCCCAGCTTTTACTTTAAATGAGGAATTGGATTTTATGGGAATCGAATCATTGAATATACCAGGCAAAGGTAATGGCCATTAGAATGAGTGAAGCCGTGTGTAATACAGAATATCCATATTTCAGATGAAAAGACATCCAAAGCAGCTGAAGCAGAACACCAACAAAAGGAAAATGCGACGGAATGTGTAGAGAACGATTGCGAACGTGACAAAAGTAAGATCTTTGGATTATTTTTGAAAAAAGCTTCGCTAGACTTATTTATTCACAAAAATTTAGCAAATTTATTTGTGGCAATACGAATGAGGTTACTTCGTAGTCAAATTGGTGAAACTCGATTCCAAATTTGCCCGAGGGTGGGGTTTGTAGTAATCAAATTTTCCCGAGCGAATATTCAAAACGTGAATAC